TCATATATTTTGATATCTGCTATTTCTGAGTATATTGTCGACTGAAAACGTTTTTTATGATGTTAGTGCCCGAAGGATGTCCACGAGGTATATGATAATTTAAGGCAAAATGATACCAGGTGAAATATAAACTTCATTCCTGTTAGACAGTCCATACCTAGTAATAGACCATCCATATCGAATATGACATGGGTGATATTTACGTTCGTCATTGTGCTAAATAAGTTCTTCGTGTGCGCGAACGTGAATTATTTTCCATGAGAGTTAATGTTGAAAATAACACTATCGCTGCGTCACTAGTTCTCCTTTACGCATAAGCATTGCTTTTCACAAGATGTGCCAGTGGTCTGGCGAGAGGCGACCGGTCTGAGACTGAAATGCTGACCGCTGGTGTGCGTTGGTTGCTGAACTTTGTAAGTCAACTGTTCTATTCAAATAAGGAGATTACAAATGGGCGGGAAGAATTTTGGATGACACTGCAATGTTGTCACATAGCCATAGCCCATAGGCCCATGAAATTTCATATTTTTATGTAAACCCCTCAGAGACCCTAAACAACAAATACAAATATATTTCAAATTTTCAACAACAACAAAAAAAAACGTTTAACGTAAATACGGTGAGTGTGTAAATACTGTTTATTAGTGTTTTCTGAAATTTTCAGTTGGCTTATGGTTATTTATGAGTTTGAGACTTTGAGTAGGTTTTAACTTTTATTTTTTTTAAAGAAAACAAATTAGAATGTCGTAAACATTTTCTCTGACATCACCAACTAACAAGTGGCAACTACGGCTAACGGCTTATACATATGTATCATCGGGATTTTTTAAGAGTGAAAAGCAGAATGGTATGAATTTTCATTGGATGTCAACTTTATATTTTTAAAACATTCAATGAGGAAGATAAATACTTGTGATCGAGTGATTTTTTTCTTTTGTATATGATGTTGGGCTTTTTTTCTTTGCCTCAGCCTTCGCCCTTCGGTGAAATTCTTGATTCACTACCTCAATATCAGTGACATCCACTGCGTACATAAAAATTATATTTACCTATGTATATGAGAAATATATATGTATATAGCAGTATCTCTACATCTTTTGTAGGCACGTAGCAGGGTATCTATTAGCGTACCTTCACCGATTTTTGAAAGAATTTTCACATTTATATCACTAATCTCTAAACAATTATGCGTATTTCGATCCTGTTGACGGCTCTATGTGTGACACATGCTTCGCACGTGCAGTTGCAGGCCAAGGAAAGGCAGGCTCCTCTGCCCATTGTTATATGGCATGGAATGGTACGTAATGAGCTTAACCGATATTTTACATCTGCTGATACACCACATAACAAGAGTACAAAAAACAATACGCACACATATATATATATATATATATATATATATATATAGTATATATATATATATATATATGTATGTATGTATATATAGTATGTATGTATATATATATATATATATATATATAACTTAATATGACTATATATGGCTATATATTGATAGATTTGGATGTATACGGGATGACAGAACACCCGAAACTCACAATGTGTGGATTACGACTTGAATGCTTGAAAGTAAGTTGTACGATGCAAATTATATCAGCAATACGATGGTGTTCTGGTAGTTTATGCTGATGAAACATTTCGTCTATGACAGAAACTGTGCAATACAACCTTTATAGATAATAAATTTAGATTCTACTTATAGAATATTGCGTCACTAGTCGAATACCTCTATTTGAGATTGCGTCTTACATCTAGTCTATATACCTATTTTGAAGTCATGCGGTATTGACTATATCCCTATTTTATAGTTATTCGTGTCTTACATCTATTTCATATACCTATTTTGAAGTAACGCAGATTTTCAGTATACTGTAAAAGGCCAAACTATATTTATGTCAAAAGGTCAATGATTATAACGTACAATATTGCGAAGGGTTTCCTTTATGATTCATGCGCCTACGAACAGACAGGGGTTTATATTCATATCTATATACACCACATTTTACGCTCGATCGCCCAGGGTATATATTTGTGGACACATGTCTGAAACTACTTTGTGCCCACGCCACCATAGGGAGATTCATGTTGCAACCCATTGAGTATGGGTGGCATTTCTCGTATGATCAAAGCTGAGCTAGGCGAAGATACGTATGTTCTGCCCTTGATGGTGGGCAGTAATATAGCCGATGATATGAAGAACGGATTCTTCATGCCTGTGAATGACCAGGTAGATCTGGTGTGCGACATGGTGAAGAAAGGTGTGTGCGTATATATATATATATATATATATTAGCCGGGTTTTAACCAGGGTCTTTACATGTTCCTCGGGACCGTATTTCTTTCTGAAGTACGATAGTGGTCGCATATCCGTAGCACACGTCTGAATGTGGTTAATTATTAGCTGATTTCCTTTGCTCATGTCGCGCACAGTACGTGCAAAAACAGACATGTAGCAAGCCTCATACATGGCACCGTCCATATAAACCGAATATTCTAACTATGTGTTCGAGCGGTTTATTATATGCGCAATGTAGTGATGATCATTGATAAAATTGTCTGCCCAAGATCCGCTCTGGTCGACATTGAGTAGTTTATTACGACGTCCGTGGAATTCTGTCCGGTAGCGAAATTAAAATTTGTGTAATTGTCCAAAGGTTCTTATCAATCCTTCCCCGATGCTGTCTCTGTAGACCCAAGGGTGTGTGTGTGTGTGTGTGTGTGTGTGTGTGCTTATCCGTGTCTAGGTAGAGTCGATGAGTATGTGTATGTGTGGATACGTTCTGAACCGATTATATAGGCCATATAGTTCAATCGAATGTTTTACTTTACCTGTCGTATCACATTGGCACCTGAATTGGGGCATCTGAATCGATATTTGCGATTCTACTCGTTTTGGATCCATCTTGGATCATTAAATTGATGAAAGTGTGCTAAAACCTGAATAGTAAGATTGAGAAAAATGGACATCTTATTTTACCACTCCTCAACTGAATTAGGGATATAGTCGTGTATATAAACGCATGTTGCCAAATTTGCTGATGGTTTTGAAATGTGCAACTGTGGGTGTACGTGCGATGAATTAGGAAGCTGTTTGATCAGACTATTTCTCTTAGTCGATCGAGTGTTTGAAAAGCCTTGGTTATACGCACGTATATAAATACACACCTGAAGTTGTGCGCAATAATACACACGCCTGCACAACTCTGTGTACTATATGTACCATTGATATATGTGTATGCACGATTTACGGAGCTTGCATCAGACTCGAGCTTAATATCTTTCGAGCATATATATGATGGGTTTGGAACCTCACTACGCACTACTCACGTATACATTCAGCACTGTAGTATCTGCAGTCCGTTGATTATAGACCGTTGTTTATAATCTGCTTTCTATAGGTCGCTGATTATAGTCCGTGGTTTGTAGCTCGTTGATTACGTTGATCATAGTCTGTCGATTATAGTCCGTTGATTATTGTCCGTTAAGCATAGTCCGTTTCGTTGATCATAGTTCGTTGGTTAAAGTCCTATGCTTATTGCCCGTTAGGTATCGTTCTTTGATTATAGTTCGTTGGTTATAGTCCGTTTATAATAATCAGTTGGTTGTAGTCCTTCGATTATTGTCCGTTAAGCATGGTTTGTTGAGCATAGTTCGTTGAGCATAGTTCGCTGGCTAAATCCCTTGATTGTTGTCCGTAAGGTATCGTTCTTTGATTACAGTTCGTTGGTTATAGTCCGTTGATTTGTCTGCGAATTTGTAACCTCGTATATACTTTGACACAACAGACCCCAGACTGCAAGACGGGTTCAATGCAATGGGATTTTCTCAGGGTGGACAGTTCATGAGAGCTTATATACAACGATGCAACACACCAAAGGTTAGCTATGTAGAGCGTGTGTGTGTCTTGTGCTGAATGCACGACTACGGATGAGTGTGTGCTTGTGATTGCGATGTGACGTGTATTTGAGCATGTATTTGAGTAGTGTTAAAGGTAGGTCTAATCGTGTACGTTAACCTGTATTTGAAACATGAGTACATGCGGCAATGCAGGCCATTGCCGCGGTCGTGTGGGAAACGGTGTGTGTCGAGGCTCATCAAATGGTTTTTTGTTTGTGTACAAGTGCACATTGAGTGGTGCAACGAATCTAAGCCACGATCTGAGTATAAAAAAACCCTATAATCACTTTTTTCACTTGTTTTTATAGGTACATAACTTCATATCCGTTGGGGGTCAGCATCAGGGTGTGTTCGGTATGCCCAAGTGCACGGGACAGAACTTCTTCTGTGAGGAAATGAAGGTTCTTCTCAACGCTGGCGCTTACCTACCATTTGTGCAAAACTATCTCGTTCAGGTAAGCTTGTGAGAGGAATGTGATCTTTTTATAGTGAGAGATTCAGTAGCAATGGCGAGTGCGGGTCTCCTAGGGGCAGTACAGTCTTAAAACTTGATCAATTTTGAGATGAGAAGGTTTATATAATGGGACGGAAAGTATCATGCGAAGGTGTTCATTAAGACATATTCTTCATCGCCTGTTATCAGTGCCAGCTAATGCTCTTCTATCTCACAGGCTGATGTACCTGTGAATGCATAGTACATGCATAGTGATGAAATCATTGGAATGCATCGTACATGCATAGTTTTCAATCATTAAAATGCATAGTGCATACATAGTGACC